GCTTCCGTTACATGTGGCTCCACCTCCAATGCAGGAGACACGGGTGTGGAAGATTCCCTGGAGAAGGGAATGGCAACCCACTCCAGTATTCTTCCTGAAGAATCCCCATGGACAGACAGCCTGGTGGGCTACAGTTCATGGGGTCACAAAGAGTCAGACACGACCGAGCGACTAACACTTTCACACATGGTATTTTAAAACAGTTTAGCTCAATTTTCCACATCTGATGAATGGAAATCAATCTACAGATTTATGAATTTCAAATCTCCCTGAACATTGTCATACTCTGTATCATATTTTATATTCTGACTTCAGATTTAACGTATTACATTAAATAGTCATGAAACTCAGCAACATATAATAGACTATCTGAAAAAAGTGTCTTGTTACATTTGAGAATGTGTTACAGAATACTATTCAGTTAAATGGATGTAGAATATCCTGTTAGAGCGCAGAAAATATGTGACTTTAAAATCAGAAATCTCTTGGGAATTCCCTAGTGGTCCGGCGATTAGGGCTTGGCACATTCACCGCTGTGGCCCGGGTCTAATCCCTGGTCAGGGAACTAAGATCCTGAAAGCCACATGGGTCAGCCAAAGCACAAAAACAAAACAAACAGATCCTCCTGGTCATGGCCAGTCATCTCTTACTCACTTCCTTCATAAATGAGGAAACCATATGAGCTTTTCCATAAGAACATGAGCTTTTCCTGATGCTTAGAAGATTTAAAGTGCTGAGAACAATACTGGACACACCCTAGATGCTAAAGTAAGGTTAGCTATTAATATTACCATAATTAAGGTGGCAGCATAATTCTTCTTAAGATGGAGAACCTCATCTATTTTTGTTTTTTGGAGACCTGAATGGGTCATTTGGATATGAAAGGATAGGTTCTAGAAACTGGTCATAAAATACTGCAAAACAAAATGAAGTTGACTAGTGCACCATGGAAGATGAGAGAAGGGGGTAAGGATTGTGCAGATAGTGGAGAGGAGAGGGGAGGGCTCAAGAAGGGGTTGGATAGGCACTCAGTGGAAAGCCTGACCAATGAGCGTTGAGTTAACTTTGAGGGCATTTGTGAAAGTCTCACGAATATATATAACATGTATATAATAAAATACAATATATAATACCTATATTATATATAATATACATTATAATAATGTATGATATATAAATACTTATATATTTATATATAATATATAATTATAAATATATCAATATNTTATTATGTAATATATTGATATTATTAATATATGCATATATGATTGTTATATAAATCATATTACAATTTATATTTTATAATTATATAATTAATTTAATTATATTATTAATTGCCTCATAATTTAATTATATTAAATTATACTATATAAATTATATAAACAATTTATTATATAAATTAATAAAATTATCAATATATTATTATATTTTATATAATATATTTATATAAAATTATTTGTAAATAATTATTAATAACCACTATAAGACAGTTGCAGTTTGAGAGCAAATCACTCCCCTATTGCAGGATCTGTTGCTAGATGGTGGCTTTATAGTTTTAGGTCTATGTGCTATCACTGTTATAACTTGGCTGGGGAATTGGTCCAAAATTTCCTCTTTTTTCTTTCCTTAGTTCTCTTGACCAGAGATGGAATCCCCACGTCCTGCAGTGGAAGTGCAGAGTCTTAACCACTGGACTGCCAGGGAAGCCCCACACATTTTCCTCTTCAGTCAGCCTTAAATGCCTAATTTTGTTACTTCTTTATAAACACCTTCAGTAAATTTAATACTGAATCATAAGCATTATTTTTATTTAGCATTCATACACACAATTCATAATCTGCAGAATAAAGCTTTTCATAGCAAGTGTGAAAATCTAGGTGATCCTAGAGACAGATTTGCAATTGCTTGAACAAATATATCCATGAGTGCCGTAACTCTCACAGAGGTCTGATCAGTGGCTTGTTCATGCACCTTTTCTGATCAATCTTGAAAGTAAAAGTGAAAGTGTTAGTCACTCAGTTGTGTACAATTCTGCGACCCCATGGTCTGTCCATGCAATTCTCCAGGCAAGAATGTGGGAGTGGGTTGTCCTTCCCTTCTCCAAGGGATCTTCCTGACCCAGGGATTGAACCTGGGTCTCCTGCACTGCAGGCAGATTCTTCACCATCTGAGCTACCAGGGAAGCCCTCTGATCAATCTTAATTCTCAGAAATTTCAGTAAAAATATATTAATTTTGCAGCTGACACAATGCACAGAAGAATAATAAACAACGGGTTGGCAAAATGTTCATTTGAGTTTTTCATCAGGTTTAACATCTTACACAAAAACCGAAACAAAAAATTTTTTTAAACTTTTAATTTAGTATTGGGGTATTTAGCCAGTTAACAATGTGATAGTTTCAGCTGAACAGTGAAGGGACTCAGCCAGACATGAACAAACTTTTTTGCCAAGCCCAATATAATGGATGATACTCAAAGTTCAAAAATTATTTCTGTTGTAGTTGAAAACTACACTGATGTATAAAAAGGATAAACATATGGCCTTGCAGTCAGGTTCAATAAATCAATTACACAAACATAGAATGGGGGAGACCTCAAGATGGCAATTTGTGTGGATAGATAAAGTAGACTTTAGGTGTTCCTTCTAATGGAAAGCTCAACATGAACCTACCCTGGAGAAGGAAACGGCAACCAACTCCAGCATTCGCTCGGAAAATCCCATGGACAGAGGAGCCTGGTGGGTTACAGTCCATGGTGTCACAAAGAGCTGGACATGACTCAGCATGCATATTTGTAGTTTCTGATGGAAAGCTCAACATGAACCTATAGTGAGAAGCAGATACTAAAATAGTTTATGTAAATGAATCTTCATTAATAGAAGTGAGACAATGTCTGGATCACAAGAGGTAACAGTCTGTCAGGAAGAACCACAGTTTTAAGTATGGGGTTCAATTAGGGGGGTCAGATTGTAAGAGGGGCATGGATGAACCTGAGAAAATCTAAAAAAGGCTGGATGGTGGACAGTCTACGAGCCAATTCATATGAGGAATGTTGTAAGAACTGGGAGAGTTGAGTTGAGAAGACCATTTTCAGTGGTGACATTCATAAAAAAAAAAAAACAAAAAAAAAGACAAAGTTTAATTGCTGCTGCATAGAATAAAAAGATGAGTTCAGTGCTTTTCCAAAAGGAAGACCCAATATAGATGCACTGAAATAACAGGGAGGCACATCGTATTGACCCAGTAATGAGAGCTGATTAAAGATGTCACAGGACATGATGCGAACTAGCGAGCTTTCATCTCTGGAAATACCAGGCAGACTGAATGACCACTAGAAGGGAGGTGAAAGCAGGGGCTCAACTAACTTGAAAAGACATACAGGACTTCCCTGGTGGTCCAGTGGTTAAGAATCTGCCTGCCATGCAGGGGACGAGGTTCGATCCTTGGTCCAGGAAGATTCCACGTGCCACACAGCCACAAACTGAGCCCACCCTGCAACTACTGAAGCCAGGTACTCTAGAGCCTGGGCTCCACAACAAGAGAAACCCCTGCAAGGAGCACCCTTGCGCCGAAACTAGAGAGCAGCCCCTGCTTGCCCGTGCACAGCAAGGAAGACCTAGAGCAGCCAAAACTAAAATAAATAAAGTTTTAAAAAGATATATGCACCCCATATGCACTGCAGTGTTACTTAATGATAGCCAAGATATGGAAACAAGCTAAACGTCCATCAACTGATAAAAGCATAAAGAAAATACGGTGTACAAAAAGAAGGACATCTTGCCATTTGCAATAACATGGATGGTCCTTGAGGTCATTATGGTAAGTGAAATAAACCAGACAGAAAAATTAAATACTGTATAATCTCACACTTACATGGAATCTAAAACCAACAAAAAAACGCAAACCAAGCTCAGAGATATAGAGAACAGACTGGTGGTTGCCAGAGGCATGGGGTAGGGCTAGGTGAAAGGATTCAAAAGGTATAAATTTCCGGTTATAAAATAAATAAGTCGTGGGATGTAATTTACAGCATGGTGGTTTTAGTCAACAACACTGTCTCATATATGAAAGTTACTAAGAGAGTAAATTATAACAGTTGTTACCACAAGAAAAAAAATTGTAACTGTGTGGTGACAGATGTTAACTAGACTTACTGTGATGATCGTTTCACAATATATACATATATCAAGTCATTATGTCCTACATCTGAAACTGATATAATGTTGCATGTCAGTTACATCTTAACTGAGTGTAGGTAGCCAGTGGACAAGAGGCTCATTCCCATCAGCTGCAATTCCAGCGCAGGTAAGCCTTATGAAAATCAGTGAGGAGCACTTGATTAGGAGCCCTTGATGTCAAACTCCCCTCACTTAATTAACTCAACTAACTCAGGTAGGCCTAATGCTAAGTGAGACGCTTGCTTTCTGGATCCTATGAAGAGTAAGTTCATTTTGTTGTTGTTTTCCCCTTTATGCTCTTTTGTATTTTTCATATTTTCTACTTGGGCTCCGAACTGAAACAAAGAAGAAAGGAAAACATATAATGCTTTTAACATTTCTTAAATGTTTTAAAAACATGTTTTATTCTGAGTCAACAAAACAAAGCATGAGTCTTTTCCCTTGAAGCAGCTTTTATGTGCACTGGAGAAGTCGACAAAAAAGCAAGAATGAAGGTAAGCTTTAAAACACATGGCCAGGGTCTTCCCTGGTGGTCCAGGGCCCGGGTTCCATCCCTGGTTGGGAAGCTAAGATCCCACAAGCTGAACGGTGTGGCCAAAAATAAATAAATAAATAAATAAATAAAATAAGAACAAAACACATGGTCAGGATCACTGTTTACTCAGAAGAAAAGTAAATTCATATAATAAGACACCTTTTCAACAATCATTTTTATGCTTTCTCCATTTTACACTTCTGCCAACTTACAGACATTTGGGGAAAGTAAGTAGAAAGATCACTTTGCTGAAACATTAGTTTTCTTTACAATTACAACATGAATTACCTTCATGTCCACTGTCGGGTCACCTTGCAGCAGTGTCCACTCATACTGGACGATGGCGTGGTCATCTGTGCTTTCTCGGCCATCCAGAATCACGCCATCTGTGGGTAGATGCAAAACCACATCCTGCCCTGCCTTGCTGAGTGGAGGTTCGTCCTTTTCTGTGAAAGAAAATAAATAATTCATAAGCGAGATGATTCCCTATTTTTTCTCATTTATTATGAGAGGTATTTTTGCCAAGAGGATGTATAGCAACTGAAAATTATTTTCTTATTTTCATTGCAATAAACTAAATCTGGAAAGTTAAGGCAAGTTCTTGGATTCACATAAAATTCACATAGAAATGCTTGGAATCCAATTTTCATCTAGGAAAACAGAAGAAGTTCACAGCTTCTTACTAGTTTTTATAAGGGAAGCTGACACAGAATTTGAGATATCCTAAAATATTAATAGCAAACAAGTGTGTACTGATATTTAGCTTTTCTCCTTCATGGTAAGTCTCACTGTGTCCACTAAATATTAAACATGATTAACAGCTGCTCCAGGGATGGTTGATAGATGGCATCAGATACAGAAAACATTCTTAAGATCAGAATTGTAGATATTTTACTTATTTAAGCATCTTATTAGTAAACTTATGCAAATCCGCATATATTTTGATGAAGCGTAGTAATTTCTTTTTTGATGTGGACATTGTTAAAGTCTCCATTGAATTTATTACAGTATTTCTTCTGTTTCATGTTTTGGTTTTTTGACCATGAGGCATGTCAGATCTTAGCTCCCTGACCAAGGATCAAACCTGCACCCCCGGCCCCCCACCACCGCACTGGAAGGTGAAGTCCTAACCACTGGGCCACCCGGGAAGTCCCAGAAACAGTAATTTAGCTGGGAAAAAACTCTGCAGGCTTTTGTAATACATCCTTATTGGCATCCACTATCTCTTCCTCCTTTTGAAGAAGGAATTCATAGGGCAGGACTCCATCTCAGGCCTATCTGTGCTGATCATGCTCGGCTGCCTCTCCAGTGGACTCTGAACTCTCTGCTTAGTGCCTGTGGGAATGACAATGGAAGGATAAGATCCCCTCTGGGCAGGGGAATCTTGAAGATCACATCCAGGTTACTCATTGCCTAAGAGGAAACATACCGTAATCACCCCTGTCTCTGGACAGGTCATAAATTTTTTCCGTTTCTATCAGGATGTAATCACAGGCTTATCAATTATTAACTGGCTTGAACGTGACCACGGGCTTATTGATAATTAACTGTTTGAACACATATCATGTGAATGATGGGGTTATTGTAGTTGTATTTACCCTTCCTTTGTTTATGTAAGTCTCAAGGAAATTGGGGTGGTGGTTGGACATGTACACATGGGGTATAAAAGAATTTCACAAATGCTCGTTGGGGTCTTTGGCTAAGAGAAGACTCTGCCTTGGGCCTGCTGGTGTACTAAATTGCACTCCACTATCTGCATTGTCCTTCTGAGTGAGTTTGTTTCCCGGAAAGCATGGCTATAACACTCTAGCACCAAAACTTGATCAAAATTTTGGCCTGGATTTCCTTAACTTCTTTTAAATGATGCTGCTAAGACAGTGCTCTCTTTCTGCACAGCTGAAGTTGCCTCCAAAGTAAACTTCTAAGGGCCAATCCAGATACTCACTGCCTTGAAGAGGAAAAGTTAAAATTTTACATAACCTCCTTCTGTAACTCAGCCTCTGTAACTCAGCTTGCAAACTCTAGATCTTGTAGGTCCCATAGTCTCAGAAAGTGGGGACTTGCAGTACTAGGAACGGGAGCTTATCTCGCTCACGTCCTGCTCTTTGCAATCGCTCAGCCCCTGCAAACCTGCTTAATCATGCCTATCCAGGTCAGGCAGCCCCCTCCCCATCTTGTTCCCCCATGTGCGAAACCCCTTCATTTAAACCAGCCTATTAACAGCTAGTGTTGCCCACTACAGTCTGTCCATAAAAACTCTGTAATCCCTTTGTTCAGGGCTCAGAGCTTAGAGTGTTAACTCCTCTGGGCCCGCTGGCATAATAAACCTGGGTTCTCCAACAGTCCAAGTGTGGTGCTTGGTTTCTGAGTGCTGGTTTCTGCAACAGCCTGACATTTGAAGCTAGCGGTAATCCTATTATTTTCTCAGACTGCAAGGAGATCAAACCAGCAAACCCGAAAGGAAATCAACTTTGAATGTTCATTGGAAGGATTGATGCAGAAGCTGAAGCTCCAAAACTTTGGCCGCCTGATGCGAAGAGCTGACTCATTGAAAAAGACCCTGATGCTAGGAAAGGTTGAGGGCAGGAGGAGAAGCGGACAGCAGGGGATGAGATGGTTAGATAGTAACACTGACTCAATGAATGTTAGTTTGAGCAAACTCCAGGAGATGGTGGAGGACATCCCACCATTGCATGCATGGATGCGTGTGGCAATCCATGGGATCACAAAGAGCTGAACACGACTCAGCGACTAACACAAGGAATCAGCACACTTACTGTTGCCGAAGTGCACATGTTCCTATTGAGAAAATGAGTCCCATGTTCACAGTCATTTAAAACAATGAGGACTACTAATCAAATTATGCCACACAAGCAACCTCTGCCTTAGAAGAAAATTGGTCTCTTTTTTCCCCGTGAGCAAAGGTCCAGGGCCTGATGACTTTATTCTGCTTCTCCCAGGGAAGCAGTGAGATGACAACTGCATTACTAATAGGCCCTCTTTTAGTTTTATAGAGAACTTTCCTTTGCTTCTGCAAGGTTCATCACTTTTGACACAATGGTTTACTACTTTACAATTCTGGAATCTTTTGTGCCTTGCTGCAAAGCTTGTGGAATCTTAGTTCCCCGACTGGGATTGAACACTCGCCCATTTCGAAAGTGGAAGAAGAGTGGAATCGTAACCGCTGGACTGCCAGGGAAGTCCTAGGCCCTCAAAGATTTAACCAAAAATATTTCAGATGGAAAAACAGGTATGCCTGGAAATATTGCACATATTGTAAGACTAATCCTTGCCCTCCTGGAAGGAAAAAAAAAAAAATCATCACTCTAGTCATTTACTTTTCTTTAGGGAAGCTTAAAGATATGGTTTATGAACCCAGTAAAATCATCATGTCCTCTAAATTGGTCGCTGTATCAGAAATAATAGAGCTGTATTTCCTACTCGGTTTAACTCCAGGCAAATTACACTGTATAATGTCTTTAAAAATAAGTCAGAGCTGGGACTTCCCTGGTGGTCCAGTAGTTAAAAATCCGCTTGCCAAGGCAGGGGACACTGTTCGATCCCTAGTCTGGAAACTAAGATCCCACTGAAGGAGGAAACAGACAGAACAGGCTCTGTCTTGAAAGCAGGACTCCATCTCGGGCTGGACTGTGGACTTTGAGCTATGTGCCCAGTATCTCTGGAAATGACATACCAACTGGAAAACCAGACCCCCCCCCCCCCCCCATGGAAGAGCCGCAGAGCTCGTACCTAGACTCTCCATCGCCTAAAAGAATACCCTAATTGTCTGTGTAACCCAACAGAAACATAGATTCTATTACACTTATCAGGGTACGACTACAGGCTTATTGATAATTGTCTGCTGTTAACTATGGAGGCCTAAGGCATATGAATCACAAGTTAACTTTGTGTCTTTCTTTTCCTTTGTTCAGACTAGTTTCAGGGAATGTGGGGAGGTGGGTTTGGGCCCGCACACTTAGGGTATACAAGGTTTTCACAAAAACTGGTCGGGGTCCTTGGCTAAGAAGAGACTCTGCCTTGGGGCCCGCTGGTGTAATAAACTGAACTCCACTATCTGCATTGTCCTTCTGAGTGAGTTTGTGTCCCGGAATGCATGGCTACAACACCACAAGCAGTGGGGCAACTAAGCCCATGAACCACAACTACCCAGCCACAGTGTGCTAGAGGCCGAGCTCTGCAACAAGAGACGCCACCGTAATGAGAAGCCTGTGCATGGATACTAGACAAAGCCTGCATGCAGCAACGAAGAACTAATGCAACCATAAATAAACACATAAATAAATAAAATCTTAAAAATAAAACAACCCAGAGTGATTTGGCTTAGGCGACTTAAGCCAGAAACAGGTCTTAAAAATAAACNATTGGCAGGATGGTTCTTTACCACTAGTGCCACCTGGGAACAGCAAGCTGGTATTATTTATATTTCTCTGATTACTTCTAAGTTTGAGCATTTTTCCATGTTTATCAATTAAATATCCTCTTCTGGAAACTGTGTTCATATCCTTTGCCTACTTCTTTTTGTTTTTCTTACTGATTCACATAACCAGGTCTCCTGCATTGCAGGCAGATTCTTTATCAGCTGAGCTACCAGGGAAGCCCCTGATTCATATAAGCTTACTATTAATATAATAAATACATTGGTCTCATAACTTCCCAGACTCCTATTTGCAATTTCTTTTGTTTCTTGACATAATGAAGTTTTTAAAAACATGTGTATACTACATCCTTTCTCTTTGTGATCTCTTCAGTTGATTAGAAAGTTATCTTCCCCCCAGACGTGTAATAGTGAATTTATTTTCTTCAAATCTTCTATGTATGGAGTAACCTATGGCCTAATTTTTTAAAAAATTATTTAATTCTTTAACCCATTTGGAATTTCTGTGTGATCAGAGTTGCAAGTCTCAATATATTCTCACTGGTTATCTCAATAGTATTACATAATTATTTGCAACTCTTTTGTGATATTTATTTATAACACAAAAGGGAGAGGTTGAAAATGTGAGAAACATGCAATAGGTCAGGCACTCATGGAGGGATGAGCTTTGAACCTTCCCAGGTAAGTTCTTTCCTTTGCCCTTGGAGTAGATGAGAGAGAGGCCAGGGATAGCTATGCGTGGGTTTGCAGAGGGGATGGCAGAGTGCTGTCCAACACCAACTTTCCCTAATACAGATGCAAGCCTGACTTCTCAGATTACCCTGCATTTGCCTAGAGATCCTGGTTTTCAGGCTGAATATCCAGTGGAAAGAGCATAAAGGTGCTGGCCCTTGAGCTCTTGGAGACTGTATTCTCCGGGTCCTCTGAGGTCCTAACTGCTGCACTCCCTCCTTCCTGCTGCTCCTCACTTTCATTAGAAAACATAGACCCCCAGTCCCTCCAGTCAGCCACACAATCCAGCCAAGGTCCCATAGTGACATCAGGTGCGTGGGAAACACCGTTCTAATTCACAAAGCGTGTCCACCCTTGATCCTCATGACAGCCCAGCTGGGAGGCAAGGCCAGCACTCGAGTCCTAAGAGGATGAACAGAGACCCTCATGGAGAAGAGCTGGCTTTCAAATTCAGGATTGAGGCCAAAAGCCCTCTACCCTGCCTTTTGCACACAACTGCAGGCAGATTGTGTCAATTCAGCACACCTCTCTCTCCAGCATCCTCCACTCCTTCCCACCTTCTCCCATCATCCCAGGTAGCTGCTTAGTCAGTCTCACCCTGGAAACTCAACAGTGGGCATCTCTACTTCCAGGTGGCCTGATGCTGTTGGAGAAAGCATTCAAGCTGCCCCACAATACAGCTCCACAACTCACAGGGCACAGCTCACGACTCACATAACACAGCTCACAGCTCACAGCTCCACAAAACACAGGTCACAACTCAACCCCCTTCTTTCCTGGTTTCCACTTTCCTTTCTGTTTCACTGGCTTAGGAGAAAGCTCCATTTGGCAATGCTGGTTTCCTCCAGTTGTGCAGTGAGAAGGGAAAGGGATTTTGTTTCATTGGTGCTGGGATTTGTTTTTGAGTCCCTGCTTGGGCGGAGGAAAGATGTATGTGAAACAGCCATGGGATGCACGGTGAAAGTGCCTCCCACCTCCACTTCAGGGAGAAAACTTTGGGGTCCTTTGCAGTGTGTGCCTCAAGGCCTAGAAATCTCAGGTGACCTTGGATATTTATTGCACTGGAGGTGGGAAGGGAGGTAGGCCATTGTGGACACAGATTTCCAGACCCTTCTCTTTGGACCTAAAGGTCATGGAGACTCCAGATTTCCAAAGTGGCTGAGGCTATGCCCCTCTAGTCTTGTTATGGTTTCACTCTTGCGTCATCATAAAGCAAACAGCAACAGACTGCAATCAAACACTCAGCTGAACACAGGCAGGCCCAATCAAGCTTTTATTTCCTGAGACCTTATCTCCAACTGCCACATTTTTTTTCTTTTTTGCCTCCTGTTTGGGTCTTAATTCTCATTCTGATCATCCCCAGAATAAAAACCATCAAACAAAAAGCATCCTTTTTAGCTTCTCTTCGAAAGAGAGGTGCTTTAAACTTTATTTTCAATTAATGGAGCTCCTTTTCTCCCGACTCCTTAACAAAGAGAACCATAGTTCATAGAAAATAGTTAGACCCACTTCAAAATAACCTGACCTGTTCCCTTCCCAATTTTGTCTGATGAAAGCAACTTTAGGTGGAATCATGAATCCTGAGAGCCAAGCTAAGAAATAAGGGTGTGCTGTGAGCAATCTGGTATCTAATTAGATTTTGCTCTTGTTATTACTTGACACAAACCATACCTTATAAGAACCTTTGAGACTAAAATAGACTTTCCCCCCTGAACTTTTCTCTTCCATTAAAGCGAATTTCCGCGAATCCTTTCAGATCAGTATTCCTCCCTAAACTTAGAAAAATTCCAGAAGCAGTCCACTGTGCCCGCTTCCACCCAATCTACTGGGGGTTTCTCAAAAACCATCCCTAGGACTGAGATGTCAAAGCTGGATATTTCATTTCTGATTTGACTGAGGAGGGCCCAGCGGTCCTGCCTAGGTAGGTCTCCCAAACGCAGCCACCAATAGGTACAAGGACAGACAGCAGGGCCCGAGGGACCAGGCCCGGGCCTCGGGTGGGTGCTTACCCAGGCGAGGCGAGGCCCGGGCGAGGGCCGGGGCGCCGGCTTCCAGGCCTTCCTGCTCGCCCTCTGGGGCGCGGCTGAGGCTGTAGCTGCTGTAACCTCGGTGCAGCGCGAACTTGCAGACGCTGCGGCCGCGCCAGGTGCAGTTGAAGAGATAGCAGCCGAGCGCGGCGGCCGGGGGCGCGGGCCGCCGGGGCAGCTCCACCACGGCCACGGAGCAGCGCGGCTCGAGGCAGCAAGCCTGCAGGCACTGCCGCCAGTCCCGCACGGCCGCCGGCGCGCTCAGGAAGCTGGCGCCGGCCGCGATCGAGTCCTTGGTGCGGATGATGGCGTCGGGCCTGGCCCTGTAGCCGCCGCCCCCAGGGCCCGGGCAGCCTTCCTGGCGGTCGCCGCCCGCGCGCAGCTCGAGCTCCAGCTCCTCCTGCGGCCTTTCCTGCTGCAGCTGTCGGTGGAACTCCTCCAGCAGCTGCTCCACACCCGAGAGCTGCGCATGCAGCTCGGACAGCGGCGCGGAGGGCGAACCGGCCGCGCGGCCACCGGGCAGCCACAAGCACAGCAGCAACAGGCCGGGCAATGCCCGGCGCGGCGGCGGGCGCCTGCGCCCCGAGCCCGCGCCCTCCCGGGCGACGGAGGCCATGGCGGGCGGCGGCGGAGGAAGTGAGGCGACGCTGGGCGTCAGAGTGCGAGGGAGACGGAAGACGGGCGTGCGCCGGCCCCGGGATTCTCCGGCGCTGCCGCGGCGGGCGCTGGGCACCGGGGACCTCAAAGCGCGGCCTCCCCGGGGCCCCGCTGCGTCCCAGAGGCCGCAGGCGCGCGGTCGCCGGCGGGAATCGTAGCGGATGGAGGCATAGCCGGCCCGTCGCCCTGGCACAGCTCCTCGTCCCNAAAAAAAATGCAGAGACATTACTTTGCCAACGAAGGTCCGTCTAGTCAAGGCTATCGATTTTCCAGTGGTCATGTGTGGATGTGAGAGTTGGACTATAAAGAAAGCTGAGCGCCAAAGAATTGATGCTTTTGAACTGTGGTGTTGGAGAAGACTCTTGAGAGTCCCTTGGACTGCAAGGAGATCCAACCAGTCCATCCTAAAGGAGATCAGTCCTGACTGTTCGTTGGAAGGACTGATACTGAGGCTGAAACTCCAATACTTTGGCCACCTAATGTGAAGAGCTGACTCATTTGGAAAGACCCGGATGCTGGGAAAGATTGAGGGCAGGAGGAGAAGGGGACAACAGAGGATGAGATGGTTGGATGGCATCACCGACTCGATGGACATGGGTTTGGGTAGACTCCGGGAGTTGGTGACGGACAGGGAAGCCTGGCGTGCTATGGTTCATGGGGTCGCAAAGAATCGGACACGACTGAGTGACTGAGCTGATCTGAACTGAAGGTAGCCATGGAGAGAAGGCGGTGCCCCAGAGGAGTCTAGCGCCTCTCCCACCGGCCTCCACTTCTGGGCGGACATTCTGGTTCAAGCATGCTGGGCTTATTTTTTTTTTTTTAATTACAAAAATCTTTTTGTCAGTTAGTAATTTATTGCCTTTTGACTCCAGGTGCATTTCAGTACACCCTCGGAGATAAACACAGGTATTCTTTTAAATCATTATTCTTTTTTTCTAGTAGCAGGGAGAAGACATGATTTTATTTTATGTTTTACCTTTTTTTTTCTTGAGGTATAATTTCTTTATAGTATTGTGTTAGTTTCTGATACACAGCAAAGTGAATCAGCTATATGTCTGTACATGGAAGCAACCTAAGTGTCCATTGACAGATGAATGGAAGATGTGGTGCATATATATAAGGGAATATTGTTTAGCCATTTAAAGGAACAAAACTGGATCATTTTTGAGATGTGAATGGACCTAGAGTCTGTCAGACAGAGTAAAGTAAGTCAAAAAGAGAAAAATAAATACCATATGTGGAAAATAAGTATCATATATTAAGAATAAATATCACATTATAATATCATTATTAACCTTTGTTTTCTTCTCAATGCGACACGGGCTCCTGGAGAGGAGGGGAAGGGGTGTCTCCACAAATCTTTGTGACCTCAGGGCCACTCTAGAGAAGGGATGTGCTTCACTGGAGAACCACCTGGCACCATCTTCAGCCCTTCACCTCCAGTGTCCATGACTGTTTTCATCTTAGCTCCCCAAGATGCACTTGGTAACAGAAGACAGGCAGTGCTGTGAAACAACACAAACAGTGGTCACATTCATTCAATTTTCTACAAACTTAAACTAGAAACCTGAGCACAGTCACTTAAGGGGAGATACAAAGTTCACTCTACGGTGCGCACAGAGGCCTTTGGCTGAAGTCTTATAAGAGGAATTGTTTTATGTGACCTAATAAAGTATGGGCTACTTTATGACCTATACCCCTGTGAAAAAGTCCAACCCAAGGAAGGCTACACCTGAAAGTTCTAGCTGCCTGTAAGCTGCTGCTGTGTCTCGTTTACTTCTGAGTCTGTTTCTATTGATTCATTTTTCTCATGATTATGAATCACATTTTCTTGTTCCTAGCACATCCAGAATTTTTTTTTTCTTACTAGAAACTTGAGGATTGTGAATTTTACATTTTTAAATGTCTAGATTTTTAGGGGGGTATGAATAAATGACTGGATAGGAAAATAGGTTTCTGCTGTAGTTTATTTTCACAGCTGACAGTTAGGAACCTATTGCTTTCAAATAAAGAACAGAGTAGGAGGTGAAATTGGAAACTAAACATAGAGAAAGAAAGAAAAAAAAAATTAATCTAGTATTTTTTTGCCATTTGATGAAAAGGAGAAATTTTAAAGTTGTGTGTGTATGCGTATTTGAGTGATGTTGAAGCTTAAAAAAAAAAAAATCTCTTAGCCCCAAAGGCTGTGTCTGGGCTGTAGCACTTTGGGCTGTAGTTTCTTCCATTGTGAGATATTTACCCCACATGACCGCAGCCACTTTCAGTGCCCTGAGAGTCATATAAATTCCAGTTTTATTTAAACCTCAGAGCTTGAAAAAGCTTGCTATGAGGAGAAAATTCCACATGTAATAAGAATGGCTCCAGAGGTATCATCAAACCTTCTAAAACTATTATTAAAATGATTAGTATTAAAAACCAACATGTATGATATAATATATCAACATGTATGATATAATAACTAACAATTGTATATGATTTCTTGGTTTGCAAACACTTTCAAACACACGATATCATACAGCCGTCACANAAAAAAGGGACGACAGAGGATGAGATAGTTGGACGGCATCTCTGACTCAGTGGACATGAGTTTGAGTAAACTCTGGGAATTGGTGGTGGACAGGGAGGCCTGGCACGCTGCAGTCCTTGGGGTTGGAAAGAGTAGGAGGTGACTGAGCAACTGAACTATGATAAAGGAAGTAATTTATTTATCATTTATAAATATATTTATAAATTATCATTTCTAAAATAAATAAACTCATTTCCATTATTTTGGAAATAAGATAGTTTTGATTTGAAAGCCTAAACAAACCCTTATGAATGGACAGAAGAAATTTTATGTGAGGATATAGATGTCAGGACTGTGATCTGAATAGATGGAGATGTTTCTCTGTTTTATAAGATCATTAAGGGTAAAAGTCCAGCAAATTGAGAGTTGCACATTATGCATCAATTTATTGAAGGTTGGAATGAGGTTGTCATTCTAGTGACTGTCTTAAATGCTTTACAGGCAATAAACAAGTTAAACTAGTGCATGTTAAATCTTTACAGGGCACCTGGCATATGGAAGATGCTCAATAAATAATAATAATTATTATTTCTTGTTCTACCTTTTAAGTTTACAGGAAAAAACCAGGTCCCAGAGAAATAAGGGAGCTTCCCCAAGATTAGAAGATGTGCAACCAGCTGAAGCCTGAATCCCCTACAACCTGCCGGCCCAGCAGTCGTATCGTGAAGGTTCGTCCCCATCCTCACCCCCTTCACAGCGTCTGCTCTGTCCACATGCCTGGAGGGGCAGCCCCAGCTCCCAGGTGACCCAGCTCGTCCACTGCTGATGGAACCATAATGAATTCCTGGCCCGAGCCCAGCAACCAACACTATCTCCCAAGGGCAGAGAATCCAGGAACAATGGAGTCAGTGAGGGAAGTGAAGCTGGGAGGCCAGTGGTGGTGGTGGGGGGCACATGGTCCTGTGTGGGGTGATGGAGCAGAGAAGCTGCTCAGCTGAGGGGGTGCAGGGGCACCTGTAGAACATGGGGCACACGCAGTCCCCAGAGAGTGAAGGCAGGGGCTGCCTGACAACTTTCTCATCCCAGCAGCTTCCCTGGGCACTTCCCTGGCCTCCTCCTTGGATTCTCTGCACAGACTTGTATATATCATTGCTTAGTGATGGGGTTTGTCATGGTAAAATCTTTGTAGATTAGGCTTCCTTGGATGTCCGATGGTTAATAATCCACCTACCATTGCAGGGGACACGGGTTCAATTCCTGCTCCGGGAAGATCCCACATGCCACAGAGCAGCTAAGCCCATTCGCTGCAACTACTGAAGCCTGAGCAGAGTAGAAATGGTGCTCCACAGCAAGAGAAGCCGCCAGAACGAGAAGCCCAAATCAGAGAGTAGCCCCCACTCCCTGCACGCAGAGAAAGCTCACACACATCAGTGAAGACCAGCGCAGCCAGGAAAAAACAAATCTCTCTGAGTGGCAAACAACAGAAGCCTACTTCACAGTGGCCTGAGGAAAAGCACCAGGGAGCTCTGGCATGGAGAGATGCCACTTATGGGCAGGGCAAGAAGTGTCGCCAGCCAGAAAGAGGGCCGGGATCCCAGGGCGGAAACCCTCAGCCAGGCAGCTGGTCCCAGAGGCTGCTTTCCTCCCGGGCTGGTGGTCTAGCATCTCCACCCCTCTGAACACAGAAGTCCTGTTTCTCTCAATGGCTGATGTTTTCTGCCCTCCATGTACAAAGCCTGTGGTTACCATACGTTAATTTCGCACAATGCACAGAAACCGCACCCAGGTGGTTTGGGAGGAACTGTTAGGAGTCCAGCTGGGCCCTGGGTGCCCAGGTGCCGTTACTGAGGTGCAGAGGGCATGAACCTCGAGCATGGCTAGGAGCACTGCCTCTCCCCGCTGAGGGCAGAGTGAGAGAAAAGGAGCAGTGAGGGGCCGGGGGAGGCCCCAGAGATTGTCTTCTACTTGACTAAGGCAACGCCTAGCGTTTGCTTAAACACTTCTATTCATTTTTTATTGCAAATTTAAGAGACACTTTAAAAAGGACTGTGCTTGGACTGCCAGTCAATACTCTGAGTTCAGCACAAACATTGATCATTGACTTACCACAGCCTCACACACCAGGTACCAGTACTGTCCCCATCTCATCCTGGCTGGGAGCGCAAGACTTCACCCGGGGAGTCCATCCTCGGGTCAGCCTTTCTCTTCACTAGAATGCTGTGTCTTATATTCAGTTACAGTCGGCTGTGTGGTTTCCACACACTTTTTGTAGTTTATTTTCTTGAGGTCTGTTTGAGCAATCTATAATTTGTCTCAAGTGATGGTTCTTCATATATCTAAAAGCTGCCATTATAGCCTGCAAGCAACGCCGCCTGTGAGATTCAACAGTGTTAAAAGCACTGTGAGCCTGGGGCAAGCCCCAGAGGACTCATCTATAATGTGGAAGTGATTGT